ATAGTTCTAAAAACTGTGATATAAAAATGTAAAAGCAGTTATGGGTATTGCATTTATCTGTTTGAAGTAAAACAGAAAAATGCATGCAAAATTTAGTAATGTAAAAACAATACAGAGATTCTTTTGGGCTCAAAAAGAGACTAATCTGTCCTGTTTTTTTCTTCCCTTCTCTAAGATCAAAATGCCTTAAACCATTTTTGGATTAAGATAAATATGTGTATTTAAATGAAAAATAACTGACAAGGAATTGGGCTTGACTGCTTCAACAACTTTATAAAATATTTACCATTAAAAACAGATTATCTTGTGGTTGGGTGCAGTGGCTCATGTCTGTAATCCCAGAACTTTGGGAGGCTGAGGTAGGAAGGTAACTTGAGCTCAGGAGTTCAAGACTAGCCCTGGCAATGAAGCGAGACCCTGTCCCTACAAAAAATATAAAAAATTAGCCAAGTGTGGTGCTGTGTGCCTGTAATCCCAGCTACTCTGGAGGCTGAGCTGGGAGGATCGCTTGAGCCTGGGAGGTTGAGGCTACAGTGAGCCATGATGGTGCCATAGCACTCCAGCTTGGGACAAAGAACGAGACCCTGTCTCAATCAATAAAACAGAGTATCTTAAGACTATTAAACATATTTACAAAAGAATGGGAAATGATTTTTCCTGGATGGTAGACAAAGGTGGGGTACAGACATACATAATCTCTAACTACCTTAAAAAGGCCACATGGAATAATGTAAAGAGAACAGGTTTTGGAGTCAGCCTAATTCAAATTCTGGCTGCATGATTTATTTAGCTTTGTGACCTGTGCAAGCTACCTCATCTCTGTAAGTCTCATCTGTAAAAGAAAGGTACTGAGAAGATTACCTATGACTGTGTGTGTGTATAAATAAGGGGCTTGGCACAAGTAGGAGCTGGGTAAATACAGGTCACCCCCCTGTGCAACTTTACCCTTGGAAAATTACCAACTTATGCAACTACTTGATCAGTGGCATACTAATTCAAAAGCATTATGAGTCTTTTTCAAGGGAAGAACGTTTTGCATGAAAATATAAAACGCTATAAATACAGACTTTCATACCAATTAGTAACCTCAAATTAATTTTTAAATATATGACTTAAGGACAGCCTTAAGCAAATTACTAGAAATGAATAAATACAAATATTCCCTATTCAAAAAATATTTACTGAGCTTTCACAGTATGCCAGGATTGTTGTAAGTGCTTGGACTACAGACATAAATGAATCCGATAAAGTCCCAGATCTCACAAAATTTATATTCTAGTTATAAAACACAAACTAGCATTTTAGAAAAAGGGAAGGAGTGTGACTCCAGAGTCCTGTCTAATATAAACACAACTTGTAGCAAAATGTAGTTTTGCTTTTGCTGGAGATTTTCCAAAAGATTTCTGGGGATTCGTGCATCCCTAGACTAAGAATCCCTGCTAGACTCTTTGTTACAAATTTGCATTTTAAAAGTTGGGAAAATACCACAATATTGCTTGCGGTAAGAAGATGGAACACATTCTTAAAAGTTAGTTTAGTATGGAACACAGACTAAAAAACAAATTTAGTAAACAAGAAGTTTCCCCTAAATAGTAACCTTTCTGAATATATATTAAAATTACTTAATTTCTGACTTTACTTTCTGAAAAATATTTATTTAAAAGATTTGTCTTAATTATAAGAAAAATGAATGAATCCCTATTTCTAGTGGTACTACTTATAATCATTTACAACAGAACAATTCTCTCCGATATAAAGCAGACATTTCAGGAGCCTAAAAAAACCCTCCGATTTAACTCTGGCTAGAATTCTTTGTTTAAATATCTAAACAAAAATAATTTTTATTATTTAAAAAACACTTAATTTTTATAATACCTTCCAACTTTCTCCTCTTCTGTAATTCTACCATACTTTCATCTTTCTGACCCCGCAAGTTAATATCCAGCTCCTGGCGACATCATCCACACTGTTAAGAAGCATTTATGGAGCACCTCTGTGGCTAGCTTTTTGCTACAGTGGGTCAAGTTAAGAGCTGAGAATGTAATCACATGTCTGTATTTTCTTCATTCCTTCTCCTTCTGCGGTATTTTTCAGCACATTTCTGCTACTTGCAATTATAGTTCAACATTTTTCTAAGTTAGTGATTATTGTGAAAGGTATATAATATTTCCCCATTTAGAATTCTAGGCTGCAAAGTCAGTTTTCATAGTAAACAAGGGAAGTTCCTTTAATCCATATATCTATGTAATGATAATAAGTTTACAGTTACCATTTGGTCTCTGTAATTATTTCACAACTACCTGACTGCCTGCATCTCTTTAATACGGTAAATGTTTCTAACAGATTAAAATACCACAGATTTTTCTTGAGTCTATCATTCTTATGCTCCAAACATAAGGTGGTTCATTACCCTAAAATGATGTTCAAAAGGCTGGTCTCTTAGCAAATACCTCTGCAACCTAAATTCTTATTTTTC